GTGCCCATCTTCCTCCACTTTATATGGGACGCCGCCACAGCATGGCTTGCCAAGCAGCGTGTCGGTGCGCGCCCGGGATCCGAACCGGCGAATCCCAGGCCGCTGCAGTGGAGCACGCGCACTTAACCGCTTGCACCACTGGGCTGGCCCTGATAAATTTTTATATTTTCACTGGGAATGCTTTGACATCACAGCCTAAGAGGTGACACATATTATGCAAATTACTCTTCATTCAATTAATTGAAACTATCTAGGTCTTCACTTTGACTTGAAGCTCTTTGCTTCTTTATTATTCTCTGGCGTTATCTTGTTCACATTGTCCTTCTTCACAGAGCTTTTCTTTCCACCGTGCTTGTGCCCCGCCCTACGCAGATGTAGTAGAACGAAAGAGAGGTCTTTGGTGCCAGAACTAATCCAGTCTGGAGTCTGACACTTGAGACCTGCATGGCCTTAGACAAGGCTCTTTCTCGGAGACTTGGTTTCCTTACTCACATCGATACCTACTTTGCTGGATTATTGAGGATTAGAGATATTTATTAAGTACACAAAGTTTGTACATAGAAAATAGGCAAGGAATATGGGGTTTTGTTATTAGTTGTTATTGAAGTGTCAACGCATGTGCCAGCTATTCTCAGAAGTCTTCGTGGAAGCCCTAAGAGGCAAACAGCTTTTACTTCCTCTAACATCCAGAGGTGCGTTTTATTTGCACCTGGTTACTTTCATAAGTAACATTCTAGTTATTTGTGTGTATAGATTATTTCCTCTGTAAGAGACAAAATTTCTAGAGAAGAGATTCAGGTTTCCAGATTCCTTTATGCACCGTGCATCTAGCTAGGAGCTTGCAAATAATAGGTGCAACAATAGATGTTCAATGAATATTTTTTAATAGAGCAAAAATCACTTTCTGGCAGAATTCATATCGGTTTTTAAGCTGTTGTACTTCTGGATTTCCCTATTTCTCCAACTTTTCAATGTCCCGCCACATTGAATTACATCAGACACCAAATGTTTCACAATATTGTCCCTCAAGTATGATTTATTTAACAATCATATATAATAGGAAACACAGAGAATTACAGCAGAATAAAAACACAAGAACTGTAGCTCGTCATGTTAGAAATTAAATAAGAGAGGTACTGGTTAAATGAAAAGGCATATGAAATTGTTAGTATATGTTGGGGTAGCTGAGAATAAAAATGCAAAGCAGGACATTCCAGCACCATACAGCAGCCTAACTCATCAATCTCACTCTTCAGGGTGGACTCAACGTTGACGTTTGCAGAAGGGATGGGCACTGGTAACCTCTGCTCTGGCTTCCTGCTAACTAGCTCTACTTAGTAGCCCTGTTAGAGAGAGAGAAGGAAGGAATAAGGAAGATCAAAAGGAGAGAAGTAGAGAGGGGAGGGAAAGGAAGGAAAGAGGGAGAGAGGGAGGAGATTAGGAAAAGAAAAAGTGCATCAACAGCGTGACAACTCTTCTGAAGTGGAGCAAGTTTCTCCCCTCCCTCTGGAAGTTCAGTCACAGTGCTTTGTAAGTTACATAACCTGGAAAATTAGGTTAAAGCCCATATACAGAAACTGAGGAATTTGTGACAGTCCTCTATTTTTTTTTAAGTAGATCTTAAAGATCTTATAGATCTTAAAGTAGTAATAAGAACAAAGTGGGTATTTCCTATGACAATTGAGAAGCAGTGTTTCAATGACTTCTCCCTCGAGAGATTCTATAGCTTTACGTAAAGACAACTGGCTCAAATAGGAACAATAGTAATTAGACTTCCCAGAGAGTCAGATTCTATTTTAAATGCAGAATATTTTCTAGCTGGTGAATAGCTACTTAAAAAAGACATTAAAAGCAGTAGGTATAGTTTCTCCATAAATAGAAATAAAAAGTCCATTTTTAAAGGACAAAAAGTCACCATGACATACATATCTATAAATTTTCCCCCAACACATCATTATAGATCAATCTTTAATGCTTACATTTAATATATCAATGGCATTATAATGTCTATGATACACCTCAATTATTTAGCTGTGTTCTACACAAGATTTAGGTGAAACAAAAGCTAAGGATCTCATTCACAGAACATTTAAAAGCATTTTATACTCAGTCTATGCATAAATATATCTTAAATTAGAATGATGCATACGTAATATGCATATAGAATATGGCTTACACATGAAAAGAGATCTAAGTTGTGAGTTGTAAAATCTCATTACTTAGACTTAAAAGCTGATTGTACCCATTTCTAAAATATTGCTTAGCATTGTGGAACCCAGGAAAGAGGCAGGTGCAACAGAAGATTCGTTAGGATGAACATACCCTCCTTAGCTTTATTCTTGAACCGGTGGCTACTCTTGATTTTTTTCCATCCAATTTCTACCTTTCACAAAAACAAATTCACTTAGTCTCACAATCATTGAAGTGTTTGTACAGTGAAAAGTTACTACACTTAATTGTGCTTGACTTTTCTTGTCAGCTAATAACAGATACGGGTAGTTCTTCAGTTTGAGCAAAGGAAAGGCTCTGCACATGCTCAGGCAAACAGGACACAGAAGCAGTCTCCATGGGTTACATTTCGTTTGTGTGGGGTAAAACCATAAAGTCATGTCAAATAGTGTTATCTGTACAGAAAAGTGTGAGCTTCCATTTTCATAGATATGTTTGAATACACACACACACACACACGCATTTCTTGTCACTTATCCCTCGGCCTGTAATATGTTTTGTTACATCTTAACTGGCTCAACAACCCCAGAAGACAAACTCCATTCTCAGATCTAGTGTCTGTCTCCAGCAACGGCAGGTTCTTGTTCTCTCGGATTGTAGGTAACGTGTGACTTGCGTCGTGACTATGACCGTGTATGTGATGTGTTACTGCTTTGAAACCACGAGGTTGGATGCAGCTGGTCCACTGGGTTCAGGGACAGGCTTCGCTGCGGTTTCCCAGCTTGAGAGTTACAATGAAGAGTTCGTTAGGTCACAGAGCCGGGGCTGTGATGCTCCATTGCTGTCGTAGGACTTCAACCACAGCTTCTGAACAGCCCCGCCTCTCATTTTGTTCCCATGTACTTAAAATAACAAGGACAATCTAAATAGCTTGTTCCTCAGAACTGTAAAAAATATTTTTTCCATAATTTTGTTTTTGCTTTCCTTTTACACAAGACCTTGAAAAATTTGCAGTTGTAGCACTCTGTGTAAAACAATGCAAGAAAGCAAATTTTAAAAATGCCTCATCTTCTGCATGTGTATTGCATAGTCACCTATGCTATAACTGGGTTCAAAGTAATGAAAATTTAAAACTGTCCAACTTCTGTCTTAAAAATTTCTCTGGCTTGATTGAAGAAGGCCAAATTGTGGAGGAAAAACAATGGCAGAAGCACTGGCCAAAAACGCGGATAGCAACTTTGAGTGTATTTATTTGGCCACAGTTAGTAGCTTGGAATTTATGCTCTTCTTATTAATTCCTTATATAGGAGTCCATAAAATGGCCTGATCCAAGAGTGCGTTGAAAGAGGAGAATATAGCTTTGTGGAAAGTTGAGGATTTAAGATGTTTTAGTGCTGTTCTCATTATCCTGAAATAAAATCCAAATGAATATGAAGATCAAGTTTTAGTCACATACAGTCATCAATTACTGTGAGGCAATTTCACATTGGTCTTTATATAGCTTGTCAAAAATAAGGGATTTGATCAGTATACAATAGATATTGATTTTATATCAGTTAACATTCTTCTTATTTCTTCTTTTTGTATCTGTATGTGTGTATGTGTGTGTTTGTATATTTTAATCCCAGTAAAAATTTTGATTCTCGAGGCTAGCCCAGTGGTGTAGTGGTTAAGTTCGCATGCTCTGCTTCAGCAGCCTGGTGTTCACAGGCTCAGATCCCAGGCATGGACCTACACACCACTCATCAAGCCATGCTATGGTAGCGTCCCATACACAAAATAGAGGAAGATTGGCATAGATGTTAGCTCAGGGACAATCCTCTTCACCAAAAAAAAAAAAAAAAAAAA